GGAGCAGCTTGGTGATGTAAATCCTGCGCAGGAGGGCTCCATTGGGGCCAGGAGTATAAAGTTTGCATGGACACTGGCTTAATTGGGCATAACCCGGGATTTACCTCCGCCCAGAGTTGAGGTACCGATTTTGGGTGGTCGAGGATATAGTCTAGTGTAAGTTAAGAAACCTGGGTATAAAAAAAAAAAAGAAGAAATCATTGCTCTTGAAATAGACACAATCAAGGCTATATCCAATGATAGATTGCCAATCAATCAATTGCTTTGACAAGATGGCTACATTTAGGAGGTACAACACCACCCATAATTATCGAGACGGGCCCACTAAATTACCAATAGGAATAAAAAGTGAACACTTGAGTGGCACATAAAGGCAATGTCAAATACGATTCAAGTGATGACGGGTGGTGTCTCACTCCCCTTGCTTAGCTCTTTCATTATTTTTCAACCTCACTAACTTAAGCATGGAAGAATCTCCGGACTTTAATTTTTCAATGGCCTCATAAGAGTAACACATTGTTACCTCGGGATATTTTTTGAAAAGTTGAATAAAAGGTGTCACATTATTTTTTACATAAAAATATATTTTACAAATAACATTTTAGGTGATTGAGACGTATATGAATCATAAGTTAATTTTTATAGATCAAATTGGTTCCAATGTCTCTTACTTGAAAAAAACAAGTGCATAAAACTTCTTACATGATTATGTGTACAACATACTTCGATTTCTTTTGTTGACAATTTTTAAAAGCGTGTTTTACATGCTTATCTAGGCTCCTTTTGATCCCCATTTTTCCTCATTATAATGAAAAATATGATCGTTGGAGTTGCTTTTTTTGAATTGCAATGGTCATATTTCTCATTATAATGAGAAAAAATGGGGATCAAACACACGTCTAGTCTCTTCAATATACATAATATTTAATTATTTAAGCGAATTTTTACTCATGTTAGCGTCTATTACTTTTCTAGGTTGAAATTCCAACTTGGAGTTGAATCAAACAAAAAGGAAGAGATTTGTGCATTAAAAGGACTGGAAGATGGAATATTCAAGTACCACGATTTGGATAAAAAGAATGGTGGCTAAGGCATTGAAGAGGAAATTTAGATGAAAAAAGGAGGAATTAATAATGAAGATATGGATTGATGAATCGAACTCCGTGAGCTCTAAGAAGCGAAACGAAGAATGTACACACTGAGGAAATTAGTATAAAATTTTGGTACGAAGATCTCCGAAGGACAAATACCATTAAAAAGATAATCAAAGTTGAAGTTCAAAGCAAAAAGATAGATTGTAATATGGAGTTGTGGATCAAAAGTTATGTACATTTGAAATTCAGACACCAAATTTGCCAATTTTAGATAAATGGGGGACCAAACTGCACATTCTAAGAAACTTGAGAACTTGGTCACATCTAAACACCTTTTGACCTTAGTTGGAACTTTCGGAGAGATTTTATGGGAACAATACACATTTACTAAACTATAAGAATTACATTTCATAACAAACAATCTTATAAAATACTTTCATAAATCATATTGTTAGGTTTTAAAGATGTTGGCAATCTTTTGATAAAACTATTGTTGAAAAAGAGTTTTTAAAAGTCAAAGTGTCAAGTGGTAATTTGACCAAACTGTATAGGTAAGCTAGAAGTCCTAGGGTTCGAGTATAGAATGAGGAGAAAAGAGTTGTTACAATTTCGCCAACCTATCGCCCAACGATGCTTGAGCGGTAAAAACAGAAGTTACGTTGCCCGCTTGTCGCCTAGACCTCGATCGAGTGATACACCGTCGCTCGCCTGTCGCTAAACTGTCGTTCGAGAGACAGTGTATCCCGAGAAAACTTAATTCACATTTTTCAAGGTTTTTATTCGGCCCATACTACCAAAAACATGTACACTATATATATTCATGCCTCCATTTGAAAAATGTGAGTTGAACATTGAGAGAGATAAGAGATTTCTTCCTACATATCATTCTAATAGTTCAACCTTCTTTTTTATTTCTTCATAGCATTGAAAAAATCAACTTTACATAAACCAATAAAACACATACTTCCACATTATTTGTCAGAGTTCTGAGGATCAAGGAAGGTGATCGGAGTTCTGGTTGTTGGAGAATGATGAGTTCTCATTAATCCACAAGAGATAGACAACTTCAGAAGGTCGGGAGCGGTGCAGGAACACTTAATCCAAGAGGGCTTTAGTTCATATTTATGCATTTGACTTCATCTGAATTGATCAATAATTGTGACTTGTTGTATTTCTTAATTGATAAATTTAAATTCCGCATAAACACATATTTGAAAGCCCAAGATTGGCTAACCAAGAGGGGTGTGAATTGGTTTTTAAAACTTTTTCGTTTACTACTCATAATTTTAGTAATAATGAACGTGCAAACGATAATGAATAATCTAAACACAAGTAGGCACGTAAATGAAGTAATGTAAATTTATACAAGGTAGAAGTGGTAAGTAAAAAGGGATAGAGAGAGCAAACAATATATTATGGAGATTCGATCCAATACGATTATCTACGTCCTCCATTACCAAATTCTCCGACATGAGCAATGCCTTTTTCACTATGTTGATTGACTTATGGAGTAATCCAATCCTTTACAACACTTCCGGCGACTTACAAATAAGGAGTACCAATCCTTTTACAATGTTGAGCTTTACGAGACCTCAACACGATCCAAAATATTGAGCTTTACGGGACCTCACTATAACTCTTGATTCAAAAGAGTTTTACAAGTCAAAAATCTTCACTTCTTATTTAATGATATATTCAAAGAATGAGTATAAGAAGAGAAGAAGGCAACCACTCCTTACTTGATTTTTCGTTTGATACTATTTTTTGAAATACTTTCTCACGTATTATTTTTAAAGTAAATGACTCGATAAAGACTTTATGCAATCATTTGATTTTGAAAATAATTTTTCGTATTCATAAAACATTTACTTTGAGCTCTTAGTAATTATTTGCCAAATGTTGAAGCATTTTACCTTAACATGAGAGTGAAATGATTAAGAACTATGTTTTGAACACCTTAGCATGTNTTTGTTAGAGATAAAAACAATTTGTATGTGATAATCAAAATGAGATGTCAACCATAGGTCAACAATTTTCCCATTTTTGATTATGACAAACAAGGGATAATTTGCAATAGAAGTGTCGAACAAATTGTTATGTATTCCCCCTATCAATATGTCGTGATAAAATAAATGTTCCCCTTATCGATATGTCATACAATCATTTCATGCATAAATATCATTATCTTCCTCCTTTTGTCATAAGCAAAAAGAATTCCAAATTGGAGAGATGAAGAACTTAAAAAAAGCAATCAATATTAACATACTAGTCAAGTCATAGGCATTCATATACATATGAAAAGATAAGCATAGACAATATGCAAAGTGCCAACGGATCTAAGGTGCTGGAGGCGAAAAACGAGCATCGAGGGCAGCAAAGAAAGAGTCCTGTCGCTCCTGGAGGGTAGTCTGTTGTGCCTGAAGTTGAAGCAGCAAACTCCCAAAGCTGTCGATGGTGGCAATGAGAAAATCAATGCACCCATGAAGGAGGTGAATGTTCTTCTATGAAGGACCGATCAGTGGATGGACGGGGTGCACTGGATGCATGAATGTTGGCAAGAGGAATATGGATATCTTCAGGGTCGCCCTCAGATTTGTCCTCGAAGGGTAGAGTAGAGGGGCTGGAGGTAGCGTCAAATCCTTTTGTCCTAGCCACCCGTTACCCACGATCCTTAACTATTTTCATCCGCTTGAGAGTTTGAATATTAATGACATAGGTAGGGTAAAGTTTAATAGAAGTTTCACCCTCAAGTGAAACGTCGAGCATCCCGTAGGGTAGGGATTTAGTGTGTCGTGATGCATGCACAAGCTTCATGACTCCTATAGTGATAGTAGGAAAATCCAA